CAAAATGAGATAATGAGATTTTTCAACTGGCTTAAAATTACAATACATATGATAGCTAATTGCAATTAATGTAGACATTTTTTATTTTTTTCTTTATTTTTCTAAAGTTAAAATTACACCTAATATTATTGTTATTTCATGATATGAAACTTCAAACAAATAACACTGTTATTGTATATAGATTTTTTCTCTTTTTTGTTATCTTTCATTACTCTTACTGAACTTTATACATAACATGTTACCTGATGAAACTGACATTTTAAATTATATTGCAAGGTTAATGTATAAATACAATCTATTGTATGAATGTAACAGCCTGTTTATCAGCATAATAATTCATTGTACAATAAAGTCTATATACGTTATATACACTTCTCAAAATAACTTTATAATCCAATTGACAGGAAGTCATATTGTCACATAACAATTTCTACATCATTCCAAAAGAAAAATGACTATAAAATAATATATTTTGCATTTGACAACATTTATGACTTGAATGGTCTTTATAAACAGATCTACATAAATGGGTCTTTGATTCTTAATTGAAAACCAATATGAGGAAACCATTTCCCAGCACTGAGAAACAAGCTAAAAGAATTGATTTATTAGTATCATTATTATTACAAAACATTATATAGCTTTGTCTTTACTGAAGTGCTTATGGGTACCTAATTGTTAATACTTTACCTGAATTATAAAATTATTTAAAACAAGCCAACAGTGAGGCTGATGTCCCCCGCCGAAATAGGAAAATAATTAGAGGACACATATAAATTTATCACAAATTATCTTTTACAAAGTATTGAACAATCAAACAGTATATCTTTACTTATAGTCTAAGCATACAATGTTTTTGATGGAATAATTATAGCATATTAAGGGGAAAACATGCTCTATGCCTACAGATCTAGAGTTTGGTTGTATCAACGGGTCTATTTTCCATCTTGCTGCAAGTTGTGCAAAGTTCACTGTTTTCTTTCTGTCATTAAATGTCAATTCATTATTGCATACTAGTTTCTTTTTCAATTTGTTTTTTCCATTTATTTGTTTATTTACCTTGCCTATATTCATTGTATTGGATTGTATTGGAATTGCTCAATTGATGCTTTTATCAATACCTGGTTATAATATTATGACATGTAATGTGGCAAGTTGAGTCGGGACATGTAGGCTATAATGTAACCTAAATGTATACATAAGTGGATTTCGTTTCATTTTTTTCGAAAATATTGTACAGATAAAAGAGGAGGAATTACAGGGGTAATACATTGGAAAGCTTCTTCAAGAACTAAAGCATAAACTATATAAACGAGCTCATAAAAAGGAAAAGTTTGTATAAAGACGTTTCGTTTGCACAACTGGGTGATGATAAATCACGTTTTGTCTTTCTAGCAGACGACACCGTTTTACGGCGAAAGCACGCGCCCTATTTGTGACGCTTAATTTATTTTATTATTCACTCGACGTCATTCGAAAGGCGGGGGACAATCAAAGTAGGAGAGTTATTGTTTTCCAAAGTCTCGACCAATCAAATTGCGTATCGCTCTGCTTACCCTGAGCAGAAAATGCTCATTATCAAACTTAGTCAAGGTATTACTGTAATGAAACTTTTCACCAAGTTTCATCAATCTCACTTAATTAGAACTAAAGTTATCGTGTCCCAAAGCATCAACCAATCAAATTGCTTATCTCTGCTTACCCTAAGCGGAAAATGCTCATCTTCGAACTCCATCAAGGCATTGACCTAATCAACACATACACCAAGTTTGAACATTCTAGCCCAATTAGGAAGAGAGTTATCGTGTCCCAAAGTATCAACCAATCAAATTGCTTATCTCTGCTTACCCTAAGCGGAAAATGCTCATCTTCGAACTCCATCAAGGCATTGACCTAATAAACACATACACCAAGTTTGAACATTCTAGCTCAATTAAAAGTTATCGTGTCCCAAAGCATCAACCAATCAAATTGCTTATCTCTGCTTACCCTAAGCGGAAAATGCTCATCTTCGAACTCCATCAAGGCATTGACCTAATCAACACATACACCAAGTTTGAACATTCTAGCCCAATTAGGAAGAGAGTTATCGTGTCCCAAAGCATCAACCAATCAAATTGCTTATCTCTGCTTACCCTAAGCGGAAAATGCTCATCTTCGAACTCCATCAAGGCATTGACCTAATAAACACATACACCAAGATTGAACATTCTAGCTCAATTAGGAAGAGAGTTATTGTGTCCCAAAAAGTGTGACGGACAGACAGACGGACAGACAGACGGACGAACCCATTTTAATAGTCCCCTGCTTTCTTCGAAAGGCGGGGGACAATAACTAATATAACAATAGGCTAAGCACAAACAATACAACACAGTGAAAGCCTTAAAAGTATCTATTTTGGCTATTAAATAAATAGAAAGGAAAAACTATGAAAGTGTTAGGGGAGAAATAGATATTTAGAGATGGCTCAATGGTGGATTTCCAGATATGTTTTAAAATTCAATGTTCGAGCAAGCCTATATAATCATTGAGTATTACATAGTCTCTCTGTATCAACTTATTAGGAATTCCACTTAACCCCATGGATATTCCAGTTCTCCCTAAAAATATGTCCTTTTCAAAAATCAATATTCATCCAAATCTCACAATGTGCTAAAGTAGACCCTAATAATCATTGGTGGTTTAAAAATGAAATGAATAAATAATCTGAAAATCTATACGATTCTATAAAGTATTCAAGGTATGTATGGCAAACAAACACCTCAGAGAACAGACATATTCTTCCAAGCAGAATGTCATCTGCAACTGGTCAAGCAATGAACATTTGATCAAAATTTATTGGGCACCTTTATTTTGAAACATCATTTGGCTTTAAACTAAACCTAGTCAAGTTACATGTAACTGTTTATTTCTTGGATTAAACCCACAGAACATTTCCGATTTATATAACCATTTAAACCAATTAAAGCCCTGTAAGCAATGTTAAAACCAACTCCACAGCCATAAAAAATCAATTGTCCAAAGAACATGCATGGCAAATGATTTGGGAATCGTACTCGAATTGCTGGAGCCTTAAGGTCGATTTATACTGTGCTAAGCGAAGCAAAGAATTGTCTTCGTATACCATTGCACCCTTCAAAGCTTAGCTTTATGGCAAAGTTTTAACATCACATTGTGATCCATATAACAACACAAGAAGATTGGCTTCACTTAGCTTTGCTCACTACAATCAGCAGGTTTTAAACTTTCGCTTTGCTTGACCTAGCTTAGCGTAGCTTAGCTTAGCTTAGCTTTGCTTTGCGGAGTATAAATTGTCATTTAGGCTTTTTTCAAAAATGTTGCCTCAAGAAGAAGAAGAAGATTACCAATTGTATGGAACCAGTTCCTGGTTCAATAAAGTTTATGTAAAATATACTGGAACATTAGACAAAATCATACAATTATGTTAGCTAGTATTTCATATATAATTTTTAAAGTAAATATTGACAGCATTTTAAAGGCAATCTGACCTGTCCTTGACAAGCATCTGTGCTAATAATAAAATGGTATTTAATATTTAGTTTATTTCGATTATTTTATATTCTGAATACATACATTTTTTAAGGGTGAAGTAGCCAATATTGACGATTGATTGATTAGTCTTCAAATTGAAAACATGATTTTGATGTTTGGAAGAATCAATGTAAATACGATTAGAGAATCACACTGATTCGGAGATTGGCAAACATTTTTTGTTATGCTTACTACGAAAAAATTAAACATTATATGTTATGATATTCATATGGTTCAATGTAAGTTAAGGTTATTTAAATACCTATGGATAATCCGACCAACATACCCTTTGAGGGGGGTTCTAAGTACCCATAAACACAGGTGCTATTTCTTTAGGCGATAGTGGGAATTTACAGAAAAATTTAAAGCATAAACACAATCTTAACAACAAGAAGGGGAGTTGCCAATCCAATAATGGAAAGTGGTATGAGATGTTCATAAAAAGAGTAAGCATATCTCTAACACACAGCACCTGCCAATATCATGTAAAATTAAATGCTGAGTATGATGAAACTTAACCATTATTAGATTTAAAGTAGCTAAATCTCGAACTCAATATCGTCCAAAATCTTCAACATTGAAAACACGATTTGTTTGTCAAATTAAATCAACATTCATGTTGTGATCTTACCAGAAAAAAGTGGGCTTTTGATATCCAATATTTAAGACAAAATAAACATTTTACCATTGGTACACGAATCGTGTACCATAATGCGCTTCAGCCCCAGTTGTATCAAGAGACTTGAGGGAGGAGGCTAGACACATTGCACCAAATCAAACTGCGTATGTAGACTGGAATAACCAGACGCTAGAAATTTGCACTCGCTTGAGACTGCTGGCTTCTTTCGCCGAACATAACTGATTTGAAATTGGAGTAAAAACGGAAACCATTGAATGTAAATCAGTTTATATACATTCATATTACAGTATTATATGCATGCAACCCACTTTTGTCAGTTTCTAGGTCCCAAATGTTAGCGATTTAGCTCCTTTAACCAAGATGTAGATGTATCAACAATAGAAATTAAAAGACGTGGGGAGTTTTTTTCAATAGAGGAGTGACTGAAAAAAAAGAATTTTGTGCCCCTTGTTGTTCTTGAATTCAGAAAGTTAACCAGTTCTTTTCTCCATAACATTAGCTACAGTATTTATGGTTAACCAGTTCTTTTCTTGTTATATGTATCTTTGTTTAATGAACATGTATGTTTATAAAATATGCAGTGACTGAACTGAACTGTCAATAAAGCATTCTATTAATGTCATATGTTTCCAGCAATCGCATTATATAACTTTTTATTCTACAAAATACTTGTTCAATTATGCTGTTTTCATTTTATCAGTGATATCATAGTAGCTAAACATGCATATATGTATGTATTTTGGGTTGATTCTCAAGACCATTTGTATCGTAATGTGTGATATAAGATGTAGATAGTAAATTCACTTACTTGAGAAACGTCAACTGGGTGTAATCAAAATCATCTTTTATCTCCTTATCTTTATCTTTATCTTTTCGATAACTTCCCTTGCGACGGAATGAGAAACGATTCACAGATATTCTTTCCATTTTCTGGGATTCCTTTGTAGAACTTATTGTGGCAATAAAAGATTCAACCCTAAGCGCAAAATAATTTATCACAAAAACTCAACCCTTAAACAGTTTTCAAACTTTTCAATGTTTTCACCACTCAAAGTTAACTTGTGAAAATTGACCAAGACTGATGGTCGTTAAGAATATTGATCTACAGCTGCACAAATGTTAAATTGAGTCCTAATTACCATTAAGGACAATTCTCGCAATTTTCAATTCACAAAACAGCTAAAAGGGATGTACGTGTCGTCTGTATTCAGTATGCCAGACGCTACTAGTGATCGAAGCAAATCAGATGTATTTATACTGAGGGTGACAACAACCTACTGGATCAATATTTATCGCTTTGCTGCCAATGATATTATAAACTAGATGTGTAACTCATCTATTGATACAAACTACATAAAACACAACACAAATGGCAATAGAAATCTCAATGAACATTGAAATATTAAGATAGATGAACATTTAATACAAGTTTTATATACTTAGTTAATTTCGATGTCATTAGACAATTCCAAAAGATATATTTTATCAGCAATCTGTACAGATGTACTGTTAATTTACTTTTCTCTCGGGGATTTAAGGCTAACCACAGGCTTCCTCAATAGGGATTCTGGTTGAGGCATTTTTCTTCTGAAATCTAGAGTATGTAGCATAACATCATCATTCACAGCAACCCTATGCTTTCCAATTAAATGGGCATTGACGAAGTAACTTGTACACTTATTTCCACGTAGCTGGTTAACAGAATCTTAATCTGAGATTACTCTTATCAAAGCTTCTTGTATGTGCAAGCCAAGGTATACATGGGACCTCAGTTTTCTGTCCCATCCAATTAACAGGACATTGAACCGTGTTAGGTCTTTCAATCCTGCCCCATGGATAAGGGGAAATCACTTCAGAAAATTATGACGAACTTTCTGGGCCAACGCCAGAAGTGAACTCAAGACCTCACTGAGCCACCGCAGCTAGGGTTAAGAAATAGTAACCACTCTTTTCCATTGAACCCCTTATTATTTTCAGGCTGTGAATTCCACTAATGATTAGGTCACTTAGTTCGTAATATGATCTGGGCCCTTATTCACGAAAACTTAAACTAAGATACAATCGAAATTTTAAGAAATACTGCAATTCGATTGGCTGACCAATATGCAAATTGGATATATGCAAATTGATTTTACTGGTCAGCCAATCGAATTGCAGTATTTCTTAAAATTTCAATTGTATCTTAGTTTAAGTTTTCGTGAATAAAGGCCCAGTACATAAAGTATAATCATATCTGGACATAAAAAAAGCTGGTGAATTATATATCTGTTAACCGCATTCTTCACCCATTGGACCGATTGCAATCTGCGCTGCTGTGTCACACCGAGTCGACTTTGTCCACACAGATTGGACCCTACGTGCGCTGATTGTAATCTGCACGTACAAACTGGTGCACAAATTGTCAACTTTACGCTGATTACTCCTCGATGTTTTTAAAGATGAAAGTAGTGTGTTAGACGTCCCATGTATGATCTGTCTCTATCGACTTTGTACTGTAATGATTTGTCAAATATATTTCAAAATCACTGAACAATTAGTGTGTGCTAAGAATAATATTTAAATTTTAGTTCGTAGTATCTTGTAATCTTCGATATTTATATACGTCAACTAATCACGTGAATGAATGTCCAAAAATATTTGCTGTAATTACTGTAAACTTCAGTGTTATTTTTAAATAGTTGAAATAAATACATTTATAACAAACAGTTGACAGATTATTAAATATTTTATCAAAGTGCAATGTACGTGTTTCTGGATTCTCGCAACTCTTTCCTTTAAGGTAATCAACTGTAAACTGATTAAGTAAACTGACAGTCACAAAATTCATTAAAACGAAGAAAACTAAAGCAGTGGTCTATGACCAGGTAGTAATTAACACAGCCATTCACCCAATATTAAGGTAGTAGACTTACACATAACTGGGCACCCAAGATGGATTATCTAAAGTAAACAAGCCAACAGTGAGGCTGATGTCCCCCCCCGAAATCCCAAAATAAATAGATGAAACATATTAATTAATCGTACATTTATTTTTTTCAAAAGTATCAAGCAATCAAACTATACACTAAGTTTCATCATTCTCTGATAGAATAAAGATTATCTTGTCCCAAAGCATCGACCAATGAAATTGATTAGCTCTGCTTAGCTTTTGCTTGAAATGTTAATCATTGAACTAAGTCAAAACATTCACTTAATGAACATCAAATTTAAACATTCTACCTCAATTAAAAGCAGAGTTGTTGACCAATCAAATTGCTTATCGCTCATTTGCCTAAGCAGAAAATACTCACCATCGAACTTAGTTAAGGTAATGATATAATGAATCTATATTCAGAGTTTCATCGTTCTCACTTCATGCCCCAAAGCATCAACCAATCAAATTGCTTATCTCTGCTTACCCTAAGCAGAAAATGCTCATCTTTAAACTCCATCAAGGCATTGACCTAATAAACACCTACACCAAGTTTGAACATTCTAGCTCAATTAGAAGGAGAGTTATTGTGTTCCAAAGTCTCAGCCAATCAAATTGCTTATCGCTCTGCTTACCCTGAGCAGAAAATTCTCATTATCGAACTTAGTCAAGATAATGATATAATGAAACTATACACCAAGTTTCATCACTCTCACTTAATTAGAACTAAAGTTATCGTGTCCCAAAGCATCAACCAATCAAATTGCTTATCTCTGCTTACCCTAAGCAGAAAATGCTCATCTTAGAACTCCATCAAGGCATTGACCTAATAAACACCTACACCAAGTTTCAACATTCTAGCTCAAATAGAAAGAGAGTTATTGTGTCCCAAAAGGTGTGACGGACGCACGGACAGACGGACGTCCGGACCGACGGCCAGCCAGCCAGACAGACAGACAGACGGACAACTAACAAATGGCATATCATCTTCATTCACCACAAGGAAAAGTCACCAAAATAGAAAGAGAGGTCAAACAACTATGCATACCTCAAGTAATGAGAGATGATCAATCTTACACCCCCAACTAGATTGAACATACTACCCATCGTGAAGGTTGTATAACCGAATAGTGATACTAATTTTTAGTTCCTTTTCAAATTTTATTTTAAGAATACATAATTTAATTCTTAACTCTTTATTCATGTACATAGGCAATATAGCTAACATTAGTCTTTCTGCCTTTACTTTTAATGTTAATAATTTGATTTAAAGTTTATAAAGTAATTGCCTAAAATTGCCTAAAAGCAACAATGGTCTTGACTGTGTTATAATCTTTGGATGCCTTGAGCAAAGAGTTATGGTTAACAATGCATTCAGATTAATGCCAAACAAGTGTCAAGTATGACGGGGGATTTCAGTCAAAAGTCAGTGCTATGTTGTTAGTGCTTTTACATCTACAATGTTGCAAATGTTGAATGTAATGTGTAAATTGGAGGACGTTAAATTTAACAAAATATTGTAATACTGACAAATACATCGTGTAAATTGACATCTACGTTTTGTCATTAAACATTTCACATTAGACATTTCAAAATTTCCACAACACGCCTAACTCCATCTACCCAGATCTTTAAACATTGAACTCTCACATCTTCTCATATGACACGCGCACTATGTATTGTACCGTTCAACATTTCACTTTTACATCGTAACACAGAACTCACGACATGAAATTAGCCAGTATGAAAATAATATCAGACGGTACCTATTTTTAATCACGTGACATCTCGCGTGAAGAAAACATAATTTTGAAGCAGGGAATTTCCCCCGGCATGAGACCTGCAACCCGGTGTTGATTTCATGATTTTTTTTCTACATAAAGAAAGAAATGTAAAATATCTCGGCTTCCACATATAACACAAGAGATTTTTTGTAGAATTCATAGACTTTCCTACGAAGAATTTTACTCTGAAGTCGCCAGGGTTTGTGTGAACGTGTGCGACAGTCCATGAGCAATGTGGACATAGAAAGTTGCCACAACAACCATCCTTCCCTTCATGAGAAGTATATACAATACAAAATATAATAGCCCAACAAATAAAAGGAGAAGAATGAACAATGGCCCATGGATGGGTATTATATAATTTATAAACAGGACAGCATTATAATGCAAAAGATGACAGCACCAAAAAGAGACAGTCATAGGTACCGTGTGAACTAATTTGCATACTGGCTAATTTCATTACTTGTTCTGTGTTACGATACACAAGACATATGTCGAAGGGTACAATACATAGGGCGAGTGTCAAATGAGAAGATGTCAGAGTTCAGTGTTTAAAGTTCTGGGTAGATGGACTTCGGCTTATTGTGAAATGTTTAATGACAAAAAGTAGATGTCATTTTACTGGATGTATTTGTCAGTATTACAGGATTTTTTACTTTTGACGTAGTCAAATTTACACATTACATTCAACATTTGCAACATTTGACATGTAATAGCACTAACAACATAGCACTGACTTTTGACTCAAATCCCCCGTCATAGTCAAGGCTTTTATTAGGACTTAAAGCTTATTAACTAAGTACATTAATTATATTTCATTATAAATCTTTTACCCAATGAAATTTATATATATTAATTTAACTTCTTTCATTTGATTCGTTAAAATATTTTTATCCCTAATTTTATCTTTAATCTGGTTTGTTGAAATAATTGTCTTTTTGTCTGTATGCAAATTAGTTTTTTTAAAAGATAGAAAAGGAGAATGAAAAATATACAGGACATCAGATGAGATAGGCTTAAGACAAACCCTTTGATATGATCTTGTAAATAATGTATTTTTAAACTGTATATAAAGTAATATTGAAATAGATTTGGAATTGGACTTATAATGCAGTGACCACCTTCACTATAATACTTCTCCACAAATGAGCTATACACCCCCAATCCTAGCTCATCTACAAATATTACATATGTATCACCTGGGTGCATATTCCAACGCAGAATAGCCCCGAAACGTTGGTGATATAATGGTGGAAGATGGATTCAAGACTCGGAACTTCTCACATGCCAAGCGAGAACAACTGAAGATCTAATGGTTTGAACAAAGACAGTCAAGAACAGATTGGAGATACAAGTGGATTCCTAGATTTGGTTCATATGAGATCAGGGAATTGGTTTGATATGTTAAATCAACTATTTCTTGTACCATTCTAGCTCATCTACAAATATTACATATGTATCACCTGGGTGCATATTCCAACGCAGAATAGCCCCGAAACGTTGGTGATAGTTGGACTGATAAG